GCTGTGGCCGAGACTGAGTGGGTGGGTGTGGGGGTGCTGGCTGGGAGGGAACCAGGGTGCCTGAGTGCTGTGTGGCCTGGGGTGCGCTGCTCCCCTCTGGAGCCTGCTGAGGGCGGAAGGTCATTCTCAAGGTGAACGAGGAGCAGCCTGGAATGTGCTCAGAGCCCTTCCGAGGCAGGAGCCAGGCTGCAGACCCTCCCGGAAAGCCCGGAGGCCGCCTACACTGGCACCCGGGTGCTCTGGGGTCGAAGGCAGACTCGGGGTGCTGGTGCCTGGACTGAGACCCCGTTCCTGAGGCAGCCCCGTGTCCCTCCCGCACCCCCAGGATCCTGGAGGTGCCGTACGCCTACCAGTGCTGTGCCTACGGCGTCTGTGCCGGCCTCTTCAAGGCCTCCGGGCAGCGGGGAGCGGACGTCCTTCACCTCGAGGATGAGGAGCCGCCCAAGGGGCCGCTGGGCCTTCTTGCCGGACAAGCCGAGAGCCACTGTGAGTGTGTGGCGGGGGCGGCGGGGGTGTCCGGGGCACACAGGACACAGCGTGTGGAGGCCAGTGTTGGGAAGGCCCCTGGGGTCTCCGGGAGCCCCCCCACCGTGTGCCTGAGCCCCTCCCCAGGAGGGTGAGCTCCTTCCCTGGGAGGAGAAGCCCAGCCATTGCTGGCCCCGCAGGCACCCGGCTTCCCCAGACGTCCTGGACGGATGTCTGCCTCGGTACACTCCCTCGGGGGCTGGAAGGAGGGATGGAAACTTTCCTTGCTCAAGGTGAAACTTTCCGCCAGGCCTCAGTCTGGGGGAACCGCAGGGCGTCGGATGTGGGCCGCCTGCAGGTACCGGGAGCTGGGGCCGGCCCGCTTCCTGTGGGAGCCAACGCCAGGGCTGCCGCCTCAGCCAGCCTCGCTTTCCGCCTCCATTTCCTCCGAGTTTGCAGAGCGGTTGCTCAACACCTTGGCGGGGACGTTCCCGGCCTCAGACTCTCTGGGCCTCGGCCCTTGTATTTCATTCATGCGTTTTCATCTCAACGTGTGGCCGAGCTCCATCCTGGAGAGCGTGGCGGGCGGGCCGGCGGGTGGAGAGGTGGAGAGAGAAGGAAATGCCAGGGCGCGGGCACACGGCAGCCTCCGCCCTTGGGGTTTGGGCCAGGGCTGCCTGCCTCCTGGGAACTCTCCCAGGGAGGTGTTTGCCCTTCGTGTGGGGAGGAAAGATCTTACAGGGAACACAGGCAGGGCCACGCGGGACAGACAGAGCCACCTGTCCGTCCCCTGTAGACGCTGGCTGTCACCTGTACCATGTGCAGGAGATTCGGCGGCGTAAGTTATAAAGTGTTTTAGATCCTCATTTCAAAATTCCGATAGAGTCTGTGGCCGGGTTAAGAAAATTGTAACAGCGAATAAGAAAAAAAAAATCCATTCGTTTCAAACCTGTTAGAGGATTTCTTTAACAATGTATTTACCTTTCTATTCCTATGATCTCTAACAGACAGATGTAGAAGTGGAAGGATGGTTAAAGATGAGCTAGTCCTGCCCTGGCCAGTTTGGCTCAGTGGATAGGGCATCGGCCTGTGGACTGAAGGGTCCTCGGTTCGATTCCCATCAAGGGCACATACCTCAGTTGCAGGCTCCTGGTCTGGGTCACTTCCTCAGAACATGCTCAAGCTCACTTCTCTGTTTTGTTTTTTTAAAATCTATTTTTTATTGATTACAGAGAGGCAGGGAGAGGGAGACGGAAACATCAATGATGAGAGAGAATCATGGGTCGGCTGCCTCCTGCACGCCCTACGCTGGGGATCGAGCCCACAACCCGGGCCTGTGCCCTGACCTGGAATCGAACTGTGACCTCCTGGTTCATAGGTCGACGCTCAACCACTGAGCCACGCCGGCCGGCCTCACTTCTCTGTCTTAGGAAGATGTCCTTCTTCACGTCCAGTGTTCCCGCTGGACAGGGAGTGGCCGTGCTGGGCTGGCTCCGTGGTGACCAGCTCCCACCCTCAAGGAGGCCCCTCCCCTACCTCCAGGCAGCATCTGGGGGCCCCGGCCGCCTGGGGAGCACACAGCTGACTTCCAGGAAGAGCAGGTCCCTGTCAAGAGCCAACCACGCGGATAACCCACACACGGGTCCCACCCAGGGTTCGCGCCCAGGGGCAGCCATCCCGTCCAGGGCCCCTGGAGGGACCTGTGCTGGGCAGAGGGCTGGGCCTTGCGAGCCCAGGCCCCGAGCCACTGTCTGGTCTCCCCCCAGATGACCTGGACCTGGAGGAGATGGAGGACACGAAGCCACACCCCCGTGTGCAGTGCAGCCCAGTTCCAGGTGAGTGCGGCCCCGGGGGCGGGGGAGCGGGGGGGACACAGGGTCAGCGGGGTGTGTCTGTGGCCGCCTCCTGGGGAGGTCAGCCTCTTGGGGTGATTCCTGGGGAAGAAGCTGGGGGCGGGGGGGGGTGGGGGAGTCAGAGAAACCTTTACAAACCAGACAGTTAGAGGTTCCACATGCCATCCCTCTGCGTCTCGGATCCCTTCCCTCCCCGCCCCCCAAGGATGAAATGGCTCCTGCCCACAGCTGCCCACAGCTGCCCACACCTGCCCTCGGCGCTCGGTGACTGCAGTGCGCCCCCTGGTGGCCGCCTGGGCAGGCACGTTAACGCAGAGGAGGAAGCAGGCACTGTTTTTTAGGGACCTGGACAGAAATACCACCTCCGAAAAGTAATAATCAGCAGGCAAAAGAGCACGTTTCTTTTCTTTTTTTAACTTTTAAAATTTTATCTCTGAAAGGAAGAAAGAGGGAGAGAGAGAGATAGAAACATGAATGAGAGAGAACCATTGATCGGCTGCCTCTTGCACGCCCCGCACTGCGGATGGAGCCCCCAACCCGGGCCTGTGCCCTGATGGGAATTGAACCATGACCTCCTGGTTCATAGGTCAACACTCAACCACTGAGCCACACTGGCCGGGCTTATTATGTGCTTCTATTCTGTGTGTAACCACCAACCTCCACGGGGTTCCCAAGGCCAGGTCAGGCTCCCTGGCCCCGCCCCCAGGACCCGAGTCCAGCGGCCCTGGCCCTCTCTCCACAGGCCCCTTCAAGCCCTGCGAGCACCTCTTTGAGAGCTGGGGCGTCCGGCTGGCCGTGTGGGCCATCGTCCTGCTGTCCCTGCTCTGCAACGGGCTGGTGCTGCTC